TTGAGACGGGTATAATAATTATGTGTAAATACGTCAGATGCAATAGCTATTATGATGTCATCAGCGAGTGCAGACAGACTGACAGTTACATTGCTTTACGACATCCTGAAAGTCCATCCAAGCATGACAAAATAATATTGTTGTTTTATAAATACTATCATGATATTGTTGTTGTTGATGATGATGATAATGATGATGATGATGATGTATTTCATGATTATTTTTATATATTTTTTATTATTATTATTATTATTATTATTATTATTATCTATTTACTATTATCATTATTATCTTTACATAAAACGAAGTCACTTGTTTTGTTTTTTAAACCGCCTCCAACAATTCGGGTATCTTAATAATTGTACACGGTACATGTATGTACATTGATGAGACAATGAAGACAATGCAAATTTATCTTTTGACAGTAAAATGAAAAAAAAATACCCCTCACACAAAACAAAACAAAAAACTAAGATATGATATTCGTGGTTATTAATCACAGATACATCTATCAAAATGTATAGAGTCCTCTACAAGGAAGACAAATAATCTTTAATAAAAATGAGATAGATAAGGGGAATTTTTCGTCTATTTTAAGAATGTTTTCTAATAACATGATGAAAATACTGGACATGTTGCGAAACAAAGTACGCATGTAACACTCACATAATACTGCAAATGTCACCTCTATGCCACCGTATGTTATATATATACTATGGAAGCCTTTTCAAGCTTCCATACCAGAGAGTACCCGTGCGAAACATAAATAACTATGGCGTTTATGTGTAAACCGGATTTTTGTTTTTGAAATATTTGTGGGTAGACAGCATTTTTGTTATCATGTGGACAGATATTAAAAATAACTATTTAAGCCAATATCCCGACTTCTAATGCCGAGAGATACTGCGTTGGTGACTGGCCACAATTAGATATATAATTATAACTATAAACCAACAGATTTAAAAATCAACTCAAAGATTGATAATAAAATGCATAACAATAGCCGAAAGGACGCTTGTGAAAAAAGTTCATCGTAAAAATCGTAAAAACATGTATGATTATATAAACAAATATCCAAACTTTGAATTAATCACTGATAGTTTAATGTATATCAATGGGGCGAATAACCACGTGGTTCAACCAGGAAGTATTCTACATACACATTGTACATGTACATGCCTACAAACATTAATTCCATTTTTGGTTTTCTCTTTTTTCGTGAAAGACCTTTGACTTTTTATTTGCCGTCCTTTTCTTTAAAGATTCTTCTTTAAAGATTGGCTTTAGAAAATAAAGAAATTAAAAAAAAAAAAAAAAAAAAAAAAAAAAAAAAAAAACAGGCGATTAACTACCGCCTTTTTGACATGCCCATCCAATTTAAAATTGCGAGTGTAAAGGTAAAAGAAAAATGCCATAGTTCTTTTTATTCTTATATCATACTACGCAAAAATTATGTATAATTTTAACCCACGGAAATTTCAGGTTACAACCACTGCGACCGCTTTTATGTATAGCCTTCGAAATTTATCGGTTACGTCAAAATATTATAAAAAAGAGTTTGCAGTCTTTTAATATTAAAGGTAGTTTTATTTATTTTTCTTAAACGTTGTCATTATCAATTACTGGTCGATGAACATTATATTAGTCAAATTGTCAATCTGATATAAAGCGTTTTAGGCTCACACGTCCATATACATTGTATTTTTCTAATAGTGTCTAGGAATGATAAATTCTATTCCAATTCTACTTAAGCACGAAGGAATGACTTCACAATTTGTGTGACCGCTGTTCTTCAACGTTTAAAGCACAATCACAAGAGGCGAAAGCATGGGAATCGAACTCGCAATGTCTGGATTTGTTGCCATTTTGACAACAATGTGATCTCCTCGGCTATTATGCTTCGCAATTGACCTGTGACATAATATGGTAACATATTGTTGTCTATGACCTACTACAGAATTGTCTATGACCTACTACATTTCTATGTAGGGCGATGCTCATTTTGCCCTACGCAGATCGCGCATGCACGAAGAAATACTACTTCCGGTGGATTGACCGCGTCGTAAAAAGACATTATCCAAAGACATTTTTTTGTGTTTTTATTAAAAGCTATTTTATATAATTTTCAAATTTTTACCTTAACCTAACTCAGAATTGTCTATGACCTACTACATTTCTATGTAGGGCGATGCTCATTTTGCCCTACGCAGATCGCGCATGCACGAAGAAATACTACTTCCGGTGGATTGACCGCGTCGTAAAAAGGTCTATACGGGAAGAGCCGATGTTTTAATTTTAATATTTTTAATATTATCCGAGTGAAAGGTCTTTAATAACATATCCTGAATTTAATATAAACTGCTCGATTAAAATTCAGTCAAATTTACGGTATAAAATTTGTCCAATTTTAAGAGTAACAGATTGTGTACAATGGACAATATATTCTTAGGGGCCATACACTCGAATAATACTAGAAGATATTTAGATGTAGGAGAAACATTTTTAAGAACCGTTACAAGATCGAAAATATGCGCCGCAATCTCGGCCCGGTTCCCGAGTCCGGCGGCCAATATTATATCAAAACACGTCCCATGGGCCTGTTAAAGATTTCTAACAACTACAAAATTTAGGTTTAACATTTACTGAAAAATGGAGTGTTGTTTATTTCCTGGTCGGCAAAAACTAAACTGCAGAAACAGAGACTTATAAGTGTATTATGCTTTTTTTACTGATGACTTTTGTTTTGTGATGACAGTCACTTACTTAAAATCGTGTTTAAAATTCCTTTTATCTATTTCTTATTTATTTCTTCAGTTATATATTTAGACTTTAAAAGAAAACCATGACTTATAAAATGTCTGGTTTTATGAGTTCGTATTAATCATATATACATGTACCGTTGACCTTTAGTGCATCAAATTAATGGTAAAGCACATGATATTCTCATCAGGCTGCCATCGGTAACATTACCATTATAGAAATATCTGGTGTTTCGACAATCGGAACGTCCTCGGCTATATGTCTATAATGTCCTTATCCGAAGACTGACGGAAAGGGCCGAAAAGTTGCGATCGGTGATTTGATACTTTTTTGACATGTATATATAACAATTAGGAAGACCTGGACCCAAAATATTGTCCCAGGTAAGACTTTGTTCTACGTAAATTATAGTATTTATAAATATGAATTCATGTTCTCAAAAAACAAGATTTGTATAAGAATTAGTTAAATATTCAGTTATACAATAACTGTTTTCCTATTTGTATATCTAAAAAGTCAGTAAGACTTATAGGTATACATACAGTATATAACTTATAAATATGAATCCGTGTACTCATTGAACAAGGTTCCTGAAAACCAACCTGTCTTAGTCACGCTTTTTCAAAAGTCAATTCAATCACAACTTTTCGGCCCTTTCCGTCGGTCTTCGGATGAGGACCTCGAACACAATAGCAAGAATACATAGAACGGATACGATATTTCGGTCTAACCTACGCCAAGAAACTAATTATGTAAACAAAGAGTGATTTAATGCTAGGAGTAATGGACATGTTTCGAGTAAAAGTCCTTCTAAAATAAGTTAATTTAGAGATATAAATGTAAATAGTACATTATTTATACCTTTATATTAATGGTTGTAGAAACCCAAGTACAACATGCCAACCTGTTGACTTTAAATCGGATTTGTTTATAATTGAACATCAGTGGGCATATTTAAATTTAAAATGGTTGTCAGACATATTTTCAAGCATAATTGTACCGAAACAGACTATATTTTCCTTTGAATGTCAAATATGTACATTCAATTTTCATTATCAAAGATTTCACTCACGTTTCTGTTTAAATCTGAAACTAGAACTACTTTCAATCCGTATTAACTCCGAAGTGATTATGAATAATAGCCGAGGACGTTCCGATTGCTGTCAATTGCTCGTTTATCTACGAGCTCGGTACTGGGAGATAGAACCTGCTTCTCGAAAAGCGAGCTTGAAATTGACGAAAATATGATAATTTAAGGAAGGACTGTTTGAAAAATTGAGCTCGAAAAGAAAACTCGCATGCTACTACATGTACAATGTAAATTGAATATGATCAACAAAATTGTTTGATTTATAATTACCTTTCTTAAAATAAAAAGAGAGATAAAATTGAAAGAAACATGCATGAATTTCTATTACTTCTGTTAGGGACATATTTCACGAGAGGACATCGATCTTTTTCCAAAATGGATTCATGAGTTCACGTTTTCCGAAAGGTTTCTTTAATTCGACTTTAATTCGAATATTTTTTCAGTACTTAATTAAAGTGTATTTAGCAAGTTTTTGTTCTCTATCTTACTTTTAAACCCTGTATTATTCATGTCAATAAAGCGCTGAAAGAACTGTTTATTATCTTCTTTTCGTCATATCCAGGATATCTTCTTCAGGATCATATCAACGCTTTCTAGATTATTCTAAATAACGAAAAATGACGTTGCATGAAGAAAGTTCACGGAATATGCCATAAAGAACGAAATATATTTAGCATTTATTATGAAGAATATATAAATATTTTGATAAATATGATAAATATGAACTGTCGCAGTCCTTCTTGATATCGTTGCAGCTCGTAATATGAATTCTTTCGCGGGGTGGTGGTGTTGGTAGTTTTCACCCCGGATCACCACAGTAGAGCACACAGTTCAGCAACCGCATCTTTCCTGGGCAGACTGGCATGTAATTTACCATACTAGTTGCCTTTACTTTCTCAGGGGATTGTAACTTCTGTACATGCCAGAGCAGAGGTACAGTGAGAATGACCGTAGAAAGGATTTCATGATAAATCAAAACGAAAGTGACATGCACCGTCCGAAAACGGAACCAAGGTCGCCTGATTCACAGTCCAACAGCTAACAGGACGGCTTGAATTCCATCGCGAAGATCATTCAATTTTTATAAGGCATGGAAAAAAGGCGAAATTTACCGAAGTTTTACGATATTTAACTGTAACGTATATCTTACCCAATGTACGTCCGGACGTCTCCCGTACCTGAGATTTTCTTAGCTGTTTCTGAAGTCCTTTGATTTTAGCATCTGTAAATTTTTCTTTAATTGTGCCAACAGTATCTGACATTTCTTTCAAGCCTTTAATGACATCTTCGATAGCTTCAATACACTCGTCAATCTCCTGTGTACTTTGCTGTTTATACCGCATTTCAGATAAAAGCGAACTTACTTCAACGGTATACTCTTTATCAATATCACATTTAATGTCACGTAAATAACGTGCAAATTTAAGAATCGTTTCTGCGTCAGTGTACTTTTCAGCCATATTCTTTTTGGAAAATACTTCGTTGGTTAACCTGTTATCTTAAACTGTATTATATTAATAAATTCATACAATGTCTTTTTCGTTTTTTATTTACGTTTTCGTTTCTTAATGAATCATTTTTATAACACGGAAAATAAATAATGTTTGTTTTTCATGCAGACAAAACAATCCAGCACTACAGATTCCACTTTTTATGCTTTAAATTTCCTTTCAGCCTTTGTTTATCTTTAATATACCCGCCCGTTTTCATTTTTATGTCGCGTTTGATAAATGCAATATTTCATTTTGTTTATTACTTTTATGTTCTTTCATACGATGAGTAAAGATAAAATATCAACTGTTACAGTAACTGCTGTACTCAGCCATATACGGTTAGAAAATGAATTACATATCCGAGACCGGTAAATTTGATTCAAGCTTCGTAAATTTGTGAGGTAAAACATCTATTTATAACACATTGGTTAAGAAAACATTTTCACTTCCTAGTGACAGGTTGTTTGAATGTTTATCAAATTTAAAAAAAAAAATATATACATATCGGTTTTTTAAAAAAGCATGTTCATAATAACGTTAAGCGGTAAACACCTACTTCCTTTTGCCAATTGCATCACCATCATCATATACATGTATAACCCATTATCATATACATATATAACCCATTATCATACACATGTATAACCCATTATCATGTACATATATAACCCATTATTATATACATGAATAACCCATTATCATACACATATAAAAACCATCATCATACACATTATACAAACTGAGTGTTATTGTAAATAAAATTGAAATTGAAACTTTGAACAAAGAAACATACAAACAGGCAAACAAACAAACAAAGTTTAGAACTGCGGAAAAGTACCAGAATGATTTAAAATGTACTTATTGTGTATGCTAAGCTATGCTACGTTTAATAAATTTCACAAGTTTGAGTGGGTGTTTTTTAAACATCATAGCTCTAAGAAAATGTTAGCATTTAAATTTCATTAAATAATATGAGCCGCGTCACCACAAAACCAACATAGTGCATTTGCGACCAGCATGGATCCAGACCAGCCTGCGCATTCGCGCAGTCTGATCGCGATCCATGTTGTTCGCTTACAAACCCTATTACAAGTAGAGAACATCATGGATCCTTATCAGACTGCGCGGATGCGCAGGCTGGTCTGGATCCATGCTGGTCGCAAACCTATTATGTTGGTTTTATCATATTGTTACTGTAGCGTTTTCATACCAAATGTTTTGAATATTCAGTCAGCTACAATGTATATATAAAAGATATATCGATTTTAAATTGTATTTAAATCATGTCACGATTTGATTGTAATCTGAAAAGAAGGGAAATCCCCGGATCTGTTTTTCAAAATACATGACAAGATTTATTTTGTTTTGCAAGATAAATATTTCACCTTTTTGTATTTTTAAATCATTTGGAAATTCCAATCCGAAGGATTTAAAGGTTACTACAAAGGTAGTTAAAATTAACGATAAGAAAGAAAGAAAGAAATGAAGAAAGAAAGAAAGAGGACAGATGTATAACAAAACAAGTTGTTAGTATTAACGAAAATAGAACGTCGATGGTTTAATCTTTTCTTTCTCCACAGTCGCCATATGACCTCTACTGTGTTGGTGCGACGTCAAACCCAAACCAAAATAAAGATAACGAAAATATAGAAGAAAGAAAGAAAGAAAGAAAGAAAGAAAAAGAAAGAAAGAAAGAAAGAAAGAAAGAAAGAAAGAAAGAAAGAAAGAAAGAAAAAGAGAAAAAGAAAGAAAGAAAGAAAGAAGCATTTAAACACAGGTTATTAGAATAAGAAAAAAATGGGGAGAAAAAAAAGAAGAATCGAATTTTCTCGAGGTTCAGCTAGTTCTACAACATGTACTCTTCATTTCAGTTTTCCCCCTAATCTAACAAGGATGTATCGTAATAAATAGATGACAAGGTGTTTTTAGAAACCGTATCAATTTACGACCGCATTCTAGTTGTTCAAATGAAAATATAAATACTTATACGGCATACGTACATCATTTGAGGAAGTGTTAAATCGAAATGGAAAAACCAACTACATTTACAAGTACTATTTAATGAGTAACTTAGTCACCTTTTCGCTAATCGTCACCTTTTTCGCTAATCTACCCTGATGTCTTCTCCTTCAGTTTTTTTTATTTTGTCATATTTGGGAGATAACCATATATGGAATTAGATCAAACTGTAGACAGGTCAAGATATGCCCGACCAGATTACCCGGACGTTGAAGCATTAAACCTATCAATATAGCCGTATTAAATTTTATCGACTTAAACTTCCTTTTCCTTTGTAATTTTTTTAATCTTTAATCCATACCGTTACTCCCGTGCATTCTATTAGTTATCAAGATTTTGACGGTCATATGACCCTATATAAACGGTAGTTTGCATATATATATATAACCCGAACCGGCAGGTGGTTATATTGCACACAACCGTTTATATACGAACATATAACCTGCCAGGAATCTTTATAGCAAATTTATAATGCAGCAATTTTCCTTTTTTAAGAAAAAAGAAATAGATTTCTTCATAAATTGACAGCAGTCGTGTAAACGGCACGATTGTCCAATGAAAAGCGACGTTACAAAACGTGCATAATTATAAAATATGATGAAGCATCGGTAACAGGTGTTTTGAGCCGCGTCACGACAAAACCAACATAGAGCGTTTGCGACCAGCATGGATCCAGACCAGCCTGCGCATCCGCGCAGTCTGGTCAGGATCCATGCTGTTCGCCATCAGTTTCTCTACTTGTAATAGAGTTGGTAAGCGAACAGCATGGATCCTGATCAGACTGCACGGATGCGCAGGCTGGTCTGGATCCATGCTGGTCGCAAACCCACTATGTTGGTTTTGTCGTGACGCGGCTCATTTTAATGATCAATATGAATAAAAAAAGCAGACACAATGTTAGAATCTATAGGTCAAAATATATCAAAGTTAAATCATGCCTATGGAACAATGCATAACGTCAAGATGTCATAGCTCTGTGTCTTGAATTACAAAAGGAAGGACACAAGGTCAAAATGAAGACCAAGTAGTTTTGTATACCATAATAATGCCTTTGGATCAGCGCATATGGTCAAAATTGTGGTGGTGTTGGTAGTTTTCACTCCGGATTACGGCAGTAAGCCACAATGAATTTACCAGAGCACATTTCAGCCACCGCATTGTTCCTATGGCAGGCCGTCAAGCAGAGTTAACCAGTACTAGTTGCCTTCACTTTCGAAAGGAAATGAAACTTCTGTACATACCAAAGCATAGGTACAGTGCGAATGACCGTAGAAAATATTTCATTTTATCAATCACAACGACAGTCCGGCAATCGAACCTGGGTCACCTATTCCCAGTTCAACGCTCTACCAATGAGCTAACCGGACGGTCTAGGATGATCAAGATTTCATAGCTCTATGTCTTGGATTACAAAAGATGGGACACAGTGTCAAAATGTAGGTCAGCTAGTATTTAACTTCAATGGCATATCAGATTCAGTATATGGTCTCAGTCTGACTGTAAATAGAAATGTACTGTGTCTCCTATCACAAAAAGTAGGTCATTAGCTCAAAATCTATGTCAGCTAATATCACAGTTTCATTCTGCTTCTGTAATAATACAAAAGGCTATTTATACAGAAAAGTAGGTTTGGGACAACGTTGAAATCCAAATAAAACGACATGCTATATTGTGTATATAGTCCAAATTTTAAAGCTTCTGCTTCAAAAACAAGAAAGTGGGTCAGTAGGTCAAAAGACAAGGTTAACTGATAAGCTCCATATGCATGATAGATAGCATGATTGTCACTATGAAAATACAAATCAATTATCTATGATCCAGGCATCATGGTTTAAAATATGAAGACAGTTTAAATTAGACACTAACGCGGGGCCAAATTTAACTACAGACATAATTAAAAAAAAAAAAAAAAAAACTTGGTAGTGATCTACAATACAATGCTACCCACAAAATACAAAGTATCTAAGCTCGGAGCATTGCGTTTACAAAAAAAAAAACAATTTCTGGTTAATGGTTTTCCCTCTAATTTGTGTAATTCGAAGTGACCTCTGGGAGAAGGTTAATTTTTGATTCCAGTCTAATAATTTGAGCAAACTTGGTTAAGGTCAACTAGACGTTTGATAGCGGTCCATCAAACAAGACCTTGCAGTTATTAAGAAGAATAAGATTTTTAAGGCGTTTCCTAATTTGCTATAGGGACTGGTCAGATTTTACACACCAAATATCTAAACAAGAAAAAAAAAAGCTTTTAAATCTTTGCCCTTGCGGTTTCAGAAGCGATGCCACTTAAATGAATTGTGGACGGCAATTAGGGGGCAGCAAACGATATCAAAATCACACCTTGTCACCGCATGACAGGTGAGTTAACAAAATTAAACTGATATTCATCCGGAATGGGAACATATATGGGTTTCCAATGACGGCAGCAATTAAGTTTTTATTACAATTCTTTACATACATTTGTATTTTTGTTAAACCGTTCTTATTTGTACGGTTGGATGTCATTCATGACAAAAACAAGATCAGACGCTCTATATTGTTTAGAAATATGCCCTGATTTACTTAACAGATAACATATAACATACTAGTATCTATAATTTTCAAGAAAGAATCAAACAAAGAAAAACAACACACACAAAAAAAAAAAAACAAAAAAAAAAAAAAAAAAAAAAAACACACACACACAAACAATAACAAGAACAACAAAACGAACGTTATCAACGTGGTGAAATAAAAGAATTGAGTAAAAAGTAAATCACAAATGATATGAGCCAGACATTTATATACACGTATATACATGTATACACCAACAAATACAACAAAAATTCCAATCATGTATGGGTTTCCAATGTCGGCAGTAATAAAATTTTTGTTATTCTTTATACAAATACATGTGTACATGTATGTAATTTTGTTAAACCGTTCTAATTTTGTTCGTTAAGATGTCATGCATGACAACCAGTTACAATCAAACACGATCAGACAATCTGCTCTATATTGTTAAAAAATACGCCCTGATTTACTTAATAGATAACTTTTGAAATAACTATAAATTTAATTTCAATATAAGTAAGAATGAAACAAAAAGAACAAACAAAGCAACCCCCCCCCCCCCCCCCCCCCCCAAAAAAAAAAAGATTTAAAAATCGTTATCAAAATTATTGAAAAAGTAAATCAACATTATTTTTTTTATCTGTGTGATGATATACTTGGGCAAGTGCAAACCTTGACATTTAAATACATGTATGTATGTATACACATACACATAAAACATACGCCGCTAACAATCATTTACATACATTTATATTATTCCCCCAATTCTTTCAATTCTTTATTTTCTTTATATGTACTCAACATCACAAGTTTCGCGTCATCACGGGAACGGCATATATATTCAT